TTGGTATCAATCCATTAAATCAGCAGTCTTTGACTAAGGCTCTAATTGTACTATTATGTAGCCTACATTTTCTATCTTGTCTAGAAGGATTTTATGAGAGCTTCCACTTCTATGAGCCTTTACTTACATGGCACCACCTCTATCCAGGCAGGACTGAACTAATCACTCTCCCATCTTTCTCAGAACTGAAACTTTTCTCATTTTGCCACACTGTATTATAGTAATTTGTTTAGAAGTCTGTCTCTGCTACAAGCCCAAGCTCTCTTAGAAGACAGAAACTTACCTAAATTAACTAGAATCCCACAGCCTAGCACAATGCCCAAAATTTAGTTGTTACTTAAAAAAAATTACTAAACACATGTCTTACAATTCAGACACATTCAAATTACAGCATTTCCTATTTCTGCCATCTAAAAATTCTTTTAAAAATACCCTTACCTGTATTCAGTTAGGAAAAGAGGAAGTCAAATTGTCTCTATTTGCAGTCGACATGATTGTATATTTAGAAGACCCCATCTTCTCAGCCCAAAATCTCCTTAAACTGATAAGCAACTTCAGCAAAGTCTCAGGATACAAAATGAATGAACAGAAATCACAAACATTCCTATATACCAATAACAGACAAACAGAGAGCCAAATCAAAAGGAAACTCCCATTCACAATTGCTACAAAGAGAATAAAATACCTAGGAATACAACTAACAAAGCATGTAAATGACCTCTTCAAGTAGAACAACAAACCACTGCTCAAGGAAATAAGAGAGGACGTAAACAGATGGCAAAACATTCCATGCTCATGGTTGGGATGAATCAACATCGTGGAAATGGCCATATTGCCCAAAGTAATTTATAGATTCAACACTATCCCCATCAAGCTACCAATGACCTTCTTCACAGAAGTAGAAAAAACCACTTCAAACTTCACATGGAACCAAAAGAGAGCCTGCATAGCTAAAACAATCCTAAGGAAAAAGAACAAAGCTGGAGGCATCATGCTGCCTGATTCAAACTATACTACAAGGCCAGAGTAATCGAACAGCATGGTACTGGTACCAAAACAGAGACACAGACCAATGGAACAGAACAGAGGCCCAAGAGAGATCCAAGATGGCCAATTACTAGCAGCTCGAGATTGTAGCTCCCAGTGAAAGCACAGAGAACGAGAGGACACCACACTTTCAGATGAATTTTTTTTTGCTCACGGACCAGGAGATTCCCAGTGGAGGAGCCCCACAGGTCGCCAGCGCGACTCTTGTGGCTGGCTCGGCGGTTCCTGGTGCGAAGTGAATGGGACTGGTTCCCCTTTTGGTCGATGTTTGGAGCTCTGGAAGGGCAGAGTCGCCCATTCAGCTGGTTGAAGAGGGGGACCCAGGAGGGAGGCCAGACCGGAGATTCCCGTGCAGAAAAGCACCAGGAGTCTTGGCACCGCTGGTTTGGCCGGCACAGTGGGTTGCTCAGATTTCAGCTCTGGGAATCAACAAGTTGGACGTCCACTCAGAGACCTAATTTGAAAGTCGGTAATTACGACAACAGGTGGATAAATTTACAATGACGGGAAGAAAACAGCGTAAAAAGGCTGAGAATACTCAAAATCAGAATGTTTCTCCCTCCACAGGGGATCAGAGTTCCTCATCAACAAGGGAACAAGGCTTGATGGAGAATAAGTGCGTTCCAATAACAGAATTAGGCTTCAGAAATTGGATAATAAGAAACTTCTGAGTTAAAGGAACATGTTCTAACCCAATGTAAGGAAACTAAGAACCTTGAAAAAAGGTTTGACGAAATCCTAACGAGAATGGACAATTTAGAGAGGAATATAAGTGAATTAATAGAACTGAAGAATACAATAAGAGAACTTTGAGAAGTATGCACAGGTTTTAACACTCGAGTTG